AAAAACAAAATTATTATCAAACTAGAAAAAAAAAAAAAAAAAAATCTAATATGATTTTATCCATAAAAATTTAAAAGAATTAAACTCGATGAATATTAGATATTTTTTAAAGGGTTTGTTTTAAGATATTAATTATTGATAAAGGAGTTGGGAGTCTTTGTCAAACTCTTTAGATATTTATGTAATTAATAGGTTAAATTAATAAAAAGATATCGAGGGGTAGACACGAGGTAGCATGTCAGTAAGGACGCTGGGCTCCGAAGGGGGTGGATTGGTGGGGTCCCACATCGATTGGAGAAAGGAACAAGAGCCAGCGAGGACGCTGACCTCAAAGAGGGGTGGATTGTGAGAATCCCACATTGGTTGGAGAGGAGAATGAAACAGGGTGTGGAAACCTTTCTCTAATAGACGCATTTTAAAGCCTTGAGGGGAAGCCTGAAAGGGAAAGCCCAAAGAAAACAATATCTGCTAGCGGTGGGCCTGAGCCGTTACAAATAGTATAAGAGCCAGACACCGAACTATGTGCCAGCGAGGAGGTTGTTCTTCGAAGGGGGATATGACTAGTTGTCCCTTCGATATTGATTTATTTGCTTATAGTCATATAACCTAAAAAATTCGAGTACATTCGCAGATCGACATCTTTAGTTAGGTCAACCCACAAATCCGAAAATAGGGTTAACCACTATAATGGATAAGTAAGATTTTTTTTTAAATAATTAGGAAAAATAATCCGACACCCAACTCGAAAATAGTGGGTTAGGTTGTAAACTCGAAACTCTATTCGAGTTATTCGAGTCACTAACCCAACAAACCCGAACTTTTAGATTGGTCCAAAAGATTCCCTCGATTTGACCCAATTCGTATACACCTTTACTATGCTCGAAATATTCAAAATTTGAACGTTTATGAACAAAAATAAGATTTGAATTTAAATTTGAAGCGTTTTTTGGATTGGTTATTGGATAAGATGGGGGCAGTGATTTTACATAACATAGGATATAGAAAGAAGATGGTGGGTTTGCCACCTTGAATGTCTCTTTCTCTTCTTTGTATTTTATCTTTTGGTCTCTTCATCTCTCTCACCAAGATATGACAGCTCAAAGCTTCCCTTTAGAGAGAGAAGAAAACAGTCATGAGAGAGAAACTCTACATTCTTTTCCCTTTTCTTCTCTGGTCGATCAATGTCTTGGACCTCAGTGTACATCGGTGGACTTGAGCGGTATAAATAATATCAAAGCTAGTCATTGGACCGTGCAAGACACTCATCTAGGGCTAGACCCTTTTACAACTATTCATATTGAGCTGAAACGAACAATATCTGTTAATGGTGGACATAACCATAGCATAAGAAGTCATCACTTGCTTTTGTTAAGATGGGGTCGAACTTCAACCGCTAATTCAAGCACCCATTTAGTTCCATTCTATACCCGACTCTATAAAACAAAAATTTTCACCGAACACACTATGAAACAAAACGTCCCATGGCCTTTTCATCAGCTAAATTACATCTAAAGTACTATTTACCGTTAAATTTAAGACCTTTGATTTGTATTTTGTACTAAATTCCTTGTTCATCCGCTCTCTTTTTGGCGCTTTTTTTTTTCCTTTTTTATTTTTCCCTTTTTTTCTTTGGTTAATTTGTTTGGAGGAAGAAGAGGAGTATGCTTTTTATTTGTTTACATCTCTTCTCTGTCGCTTTTCTTCATTGTTTTACGTTCTACATTCCGCAAATTTGTCTTTAATTTTCCCATTCGTTATCGATTCTTCTCTTTAAACCAAAATCCATTCTCCTCAGCCTCTAATCTTCTTGGGTTTTTGCTTATACCCTTCAAGAATCCTTCCATTTCCATGGCGGATGAAGCCCATCGACCTGTTCTTCAACCCATTTCTTAGATGGGGTTTCGTTTTCTTCAATTTTCTCTTTGATTTCTTCGATTTGGAGTGGATTTTGAAGCTGTTCTTCAACCCATTTCTCAGTTGGGGTTTCGTTTTCTTCAATTTTCTCTTTGATTTCTTCGATTTGGAGTGGATTTTGAAGCTGTTCTTCAACCCATTTCTCAGTTGGGGTTTCGTTTTCTTCAATTTTCTCTTTGATTTCTTCGATTTGGAGTGGATTTTGAAGCTGTTCTTCAACCCATTTCTCAGTTGGGGTTTCGTTTTCTTCAATTTTCTCTTTGATTTCTTCGATTTGGAGTGGATTTTGAAGCTGTTCTTCAACCCATTTCTCAGTTGGGGTTTCGTTTTCTTCAATTTTCTCTTTGATTTCTTCGATTTGGAGTCGATTTTGAAGGTTTTGTTGTTCATCTCTGATCATTGCTGATTTCAACCTGTTTTTCAACTCTTTTCTCAAATGGGGTTTCGTTTTCTTCAATTTTCTCTCTGATTTCTTCGATTCAGAGTGGATTTTGAAGCTTTTCCGAGATGGGTTTTGTTGTTCATCACTGATCATTGCCGATTCAAACCTGTTTTTCCACTCTCTGTCTCACCTTCCCCTGTTTCTCTTGATTTCTGAAGCTCTCAACTCAGACAATGAGGGATTTCCCATCTTGTTTTGGGGAAAACGGCGTCCAAGTTGCAGATTTCTCTTCTTCCAACAATGGTAAGACAGCTCAAAACCTTGTCACTTGTGTTTATCAATGTCGATTACGAGGGCGTTCTTGTCTGATTAGTATTACTTGGAGTAAAAATCTGATGGGTCAAGGGCTAAGCATTGCCATTGATGATACCTCAAATCAATGTGTCTGTAAAGTTGATATCAAGCCATGGCTGTTCTCTAAACGAAAAGGGTCTAAAAGTTTAGAAGCTTATTCTTGTAAAATTGATGTATATTGGGATCTTTCCAACGCCAAATTTGGATCTGGGCCTGAGCCATTGGAGGGTTATTATGTGGGAATTGTTGTTGATAAACAAATGGTTCTTGTTCTTGGGGATTTGAGAAAAGAAGCTTTCAAAAAGTCAAATTCCTCCCTTGTTCCTTCCTCTGCTGTATTCATTTCCAAGAAGGAGCATGTTTTTGGGAAGAAATTGTTCTGTTCCAAAGCTCAATTTTGTGATAATGGTCAGATTCATGATATTAATATTGAGTGTGATACGAATGGTGTTAGCGAACCGTGCTTGATTCTTCGAGTCGATTCGAAGACCGTGTTGCAGGTGAAGCAGCTGCAATGGAAGTTTAGAGGGAACCATACTATTTTGGTTGAAGGGCTTGCAGTGGAAGTGTTTTGGGATGTTCATAGTTGGTTGTTTAGTTCATCAGCTGGGAACAATGCTGTTTTTATGTTCAAAACATGTTTGTCTGCTGAAAAGTTGTGGGGAAGTCAACCAGTTTGTGATCCTAATGTCTTGTCTTGGTCTTTCTCACAGAGATTTTCAGACAGCAAAACACAAGATCTTGGTTTCTCATTTATGTTACATGCTTGGAAGAATGAATAGAGGAGTGGTTTTTGTATTCTTTTTCTAATTTTTAACAAAAAAAAAGAGAAACTCGTAGCGATCGAGAGATTTTTATCATCTCTTTTCGCTTCGATTACGTTCGATCCGATACAAGATCGTCATTGTCTTCTTGAGTAAACTGAGCCATTTGATTGTATGAACGTTTTCATTGCTGGCTAGTACATATCTAATATATGATCACTTGTTTTACATCTTGCTGTTCAATTTGTTCTGCTCAAACCATTCGATTTTTCGGGGTCGATATTACTCGACGCCCTTGATCACTTACGAACTTCGGTTCTTGTGTGCTGACATCATTTACTTAGCTATGTTCGACGATTTCTCGGGTTTTTTGTCTTTTGTTGTAGGAGATTCTACTATTGCAGACACGCATGGATTTGCTGTTTGGTTAGTCATTCCAACTGTTACAAGTTATGCTTACTTGTTTAGTGTATTTGAGTTTGGCACCAATGCATACCTTTAGAGTCATGAAAGAGTCTGTAACCTGTTGTTGTGAGATCCCACGTCGGTTGGAGAGGTGAACGAAGCATTCTTTATAAGGGTGTGGAAACCTCTCCCTAACAGACGCGTTTTAAAACCTTGAGGGAAAGCCCGGAGGGGAAACCCCAAGGAGAACAATATTTGCTATTGGTTTAAGTTGTTACAAATAGTATCAGAAGCAGACATCGGACGGTGTGCCAGCGAGGATGCTAGGCCCCTTAAAGGGGTGGATTGTGAGATTCTACATCGGTTGGAGAGGAAATAAAGCATTTCTTATAAGGTGTGAAAATTTCTCCCTAGTGGACACATTCTAAAAACCTTGAGGGGAAGCCCGGAAGGGAAAGCCCAAAAAGGACAATATCTGCTAGCGGTGGGTGTGGACTCTTACAAATGGTATCAGAGCTAGACACTAGACTGTATGCCAGCGAGGATGTTGGGCCCCCAAGAGGGTGGGATCGTCTTCGGTTGGAGAGGGAACAAAGCATTTCTTATAAGGTGTGGAACCTCTCCCTAGCAGACGCGTTTTAAAAACTTTGAGGGGAAGCCCAAAAGGGAACGTCCAAAGAAGACAATATTTACTAGCGGTGGGTTTGAGCTGTTACAAATGGTATTAGAGCTAGACACGGAGTAGTGTACCAGCGAGGATGCTGCGCAGTTAGAAAGGGGAACAAAACATTCCTTATATAAAGTGTGGAAACCTCTCCCTAGATTAGTAGAGCTCTAGATTCTAGACATGCTTAATCTTCCCACTCTAGCACTCGTCGACACTTGAGTATAACTCAACTAGTTAAGACATATACCTACGACGAAATACTCGAGAGTTCAAACTCTCACACCCCACGTGTTGAACTCTAAATGCAAAAAGAAAAAAAGGTATGCTTTTGTTTTTTCTCATTATGTAAGCATACATTGCAGGCTTCCTTCCAGGACGACGAACCCGACCACATCTGCTCGTGATTGATCTTTTCAGCTGCGAGTTTTCTGTTCATGTTTTAAGCTCATCGACCGAAGTTTACATGTCGCTCGCAAAGTACCCGTGAGGTTCATCCTTCTCGTAAGTATTTATAACTTAGTAGTACTCCTTGTAAGGATTAAAAGCATCCTCTCAAGCTGCTCTAAGTTTTGAAAGTTTAATATTCGAGTCGGGTTTCTCGTTCGATCCGAATGGGTCGGATTTGAATATGGTTGCTATGGTGTGAAAGAGGAAGTTTGAGTTTAACAACAAGGTCAATGGTAGATGATGAAGCATTCCTTGCAGATAAGGAGTCCGATTTTCAGATTTTCAGTTCTGCTGAACATTACTGATATTACCATGAAAAGGAGTCCGATTCGAAAGTCGGGTCGATAATGTATCTCTTGTGATTGATTGTTCGAATACAACAATTTATCAAAATTTGTTTGTTGGATCACGTAAAAAAGAAAAAGAGCGTTCATATGAGCTGACAACCCAAACCATTAAGGTTGGGTTCGGTTAATTTGGGTTGGGTTGTATTTTTAGAGAAACGAAAATTTGGGTTGGTTTGCATGTTGTCATTGACCGTGCCAACCCAACCAACCCGAAAATAGGGTTACAATCCAATCCAACCTTCTTATTTTAAAGATTATTACGAACCAATATTAGCAATGCATTCTAACTTTTAAATGTTTAATATTTAAGTTTCATAATTTTAGTTGTTAATGTAACATTTACGGTAGACAAGTAATTTCTTTTTAAATAATTAAAAAAAAAACCACCAAACTAATTCAACTCGAGTACAGTTCAACTATAGTCAACTATATAAAATTTTACGAGTTTAGAGTATGAAATTTTACGAGTTTTGAGTTGAGTTTTGGTTGACGAAGGTAAATATTATTCATCGAGCACAGTTCTCATTAATCTAAATCGATGTAATGTCTCAAGCTTAAACCCACTGCTAATAGATATTGTTCTCTTTCATTTCTCCAATCGATGTAGGACCCTCGCCAAATCCCACCTCTTTGGGGCCAACATCCTTACTTACACATCGCCTCATGTCTGGCTCTGATACCATTTGTAATCCCCAAGCCTAAGCCCATTGTTAGTAAATATTGTCCTCTTTAGGTTTTCCCTTTCGGGTTTCTCCTCAAGGATTTATAACGCGTCTGCCAGAAAAAGGTTTCCACCCCCTTATAAATGGTGTTTCATTCTCCTCCCCAACCAACGTGGGATTGTGGAATGTCACAATCGATTCTTCGGCTTCGACTTGAGTTTATTAATTCTACATATCCATTCTCTATAAAATTTGTCCATATCATGCTTTTCTCAATATTTCCATCAACAAGGTTGAATTTCAATATTTTTGAAAACATCCATGAAAAAGAAGATAAAAAGAAACAGAAAAATCCTTGCTTTAGTTCCTTAGCCATGGATTTTTTAGTGGGTACCAACAAGGAGAAAGATCTTAGTTTGGATGAGCAAATCCTAATTGATTTGATGAGACCCATCAAATGAAAAAATCCGCCCCATTTGATTGGATGAGACCCACAAATCCAAAATCAAAATCCAAATTCCAAAACCCAAAACCAAACGGATCCGACCCATTTTCCATTTTGGCGATCCAAGTCAAATTCCCTCTCTCTTGCACCCAGTAGATCCAAACAGCCGGCCGGCGAGGGAACTGGGCCGACAACGTCTGTACTTAACTGCAAATTCTTTGTAATTCTCGATCCGATTTTCTCGGCCACTCTCTGAATTTCGCGAAGATGGTGAGTAAAGCAGAGGAGGCCGAGTTGAATAGACTCGAGACTCAGGTCGATAATGGAGGCGGAGGTGCTTGGGAGTATCTTTGCCTTGTCAGGAAGCTCAAAGTTCGCCGTTCTGATAAGGTCTTAAAGCATGGATTATCGATCTTGAATGATTCCCGGAAGCGATCCGGTCTCGGCCACGAGGGTGAGTTTTAGCCTGTTTGTTGATTCTTCGATCTGGATTTGAAGATATGATCTCTTCTAGATTCATTTGTTTTGTAATGCTTGGATTTTGGAGAAATCAATTCGGTTTGGATCATTGTCATTTAGATTCAAGTTAATTGAGGTTTCTTTGTTTATTCCAATTTGAATTCGGTGGTGGAGCTTTGTGCATCATGCTCTGTGCTTTTGTTTTGGATTCCTGTATTCTGGTTCCTGCTGAATTTGTAGATTATGATGTGAAAAATTGCAGCTCAAATGATGATAGCTTTAAGAACAAGAGCCTAAATAGTTGGATGGACTAACAGTGGTTTCATTGTCGGATGGTTCATTAGAAGAAACCTTGAATATGAGTTTTTCTTCGTGCTTAACCTAGATCCCACCAAGGGTGTTGGTTGATTAAGATAGCAGGATGGAGGTCATGGAAGTCGAAATCCGCTAAGGAATGTGTAACAATTCACCTGCCGAATCAACTAGCCCCGAAAATGGATGGCACTGAAGCGCGCAACCTATACCCGGCCATCGGGGCAAGTGCTAGGCCCCGATGAGTAGGAGGGTGCGGTGGTCGCTGAAAATCTTGGGCGTGAGCCCGGGCGGAGCGGCTATTGGTGCAGATCTTGGTGGTAGTAGCAAATTTAAATGAGAACTTTGAAGGCCGAAGAGGAGAAAGGTTCCATGTGAATGACACTTGCACATGGGTTAGTGGCTCGGAAAGAACCTAAAAAATCACCCCATTCATCCAAAAGAGAAGGGGCCTATGTATTTGCATGAACCCTATAGATTTGACTCTATCTACACTCGGAGCCAATTCCCTATCGGTCCTACCACCACGCCGCAAAACGGGAGATCATGTGGAACCTTTTCTTTCTGGCGTAACTGCGGTGAAACATAACAAACTCCTTAGATGTTAAACTTACTTTTTCGATTAGGAACTCTTAGTCGAGATCGATTTTGTGTTCGGGGGGAAAGAGAAAAAGAGGGGAGCCACTAAGCTGGTCCTTGTTTGGTCACAAGGATAATGGTTCTTTTGAATATATGGATTAAAATTCTTCTTTACTCTCTCTTTTCTTTTTGTTATTGTTGACTTGTTGACTTGTATAGTATAATAGAAGATTTATCATTAGACTCGAAATTTTAGTGAAAATTTCTTCCTGATTATGATCTGTTGGTTGGTGTAGAATGGACCCTGTATGAACAGGTAGCTATTGCAGCACTGGACTGCCAAGCTATAGACGTTGCAAAGGTGCAATTTACGCTTCGTTAGTTAACTACTCGAATTACAGAGTTGTTTAGCAAATTTTAATCTGTCATTTGTTGACTTTTGGTTTCGAGAATTTTATGCTTTTGACTGATGAACGCCTTACTCTCTGCAATATTTTGTAGGATTGCATAAAGGTTCTTCAGAAGAAGTTTCCACAGAGTAAAAGAGTTGGTATGTTAAAAATAATTTATAGTATTCTATTCTTGTTCGATTTTGTTACTGAGGTTGACCCTATGTTTCGTGTTCGTATCTGATAATTCTTTTTTATGAGAAACAATGAAAACAAATAAAGATTAAAAGAGGAATCCCTCAGCCTGAAACGGAGGATCAAAAGATAAAAGGTCTCGAATCTCGATTGATGAGAATTTTCCGTGCATTACCAAAAGACTTATTTAGGGCACTCCAAGTATAGACAGAAAACTGTACACTTTCACACAAAAAAATGCTCGAGGGAGCGTTATCTGAAAATAGTCTGCTGTTTCTTTCTTTCCATAAGCCCGAAAAAGAGCTCTGCAGGCGTTCAACCACAAAATCTTAGTTTTCTCTTTAAGCCACCAGATGGAGAGAGGCTTATGAAGGCCATCGTGGGAGCTCCAAGCCAATCTGAATGCACTCGGGATGGAATGCCAACCCTTATAAGCAAAGGGAATTGAGCTTCTGGCCATGGATTGAAAACCACTTGAGTGGCCTGGCCTGGCCTACCCACCTCTGATAAATATGGCAAACTAGTTGGCCTGGCCACTGTGGATAGAATTTCTGTTTATTGTTGATCAGCTACTTGAATGTTGTTGATCTAATGGATCATAGGACTGTCTTGTCACAGGGAGGCTAGAGGCTATGCTGCTTGAAGCAAAGGGACTTTGGTCCGAGGCAGAAAAAGCGTACGCCAGCCTTTTGGAGGAAAACCCGTTTGATCAAGTAACTATTTCGACCGTTCTTCGTGAAGTAATTTATATGTATTCTTTTTATTTTTTAGTTTTTACCATGCAATGTGGATTTAATGGCAGGTAGTACAGAAAAGGAGGGTTGCTCTGGCGAAAGCACAAGGCAACACTGCTGGGGCTATCGAACGCCTCAACAAATATCTTGAAACGTGAGCGGAATTTTTGCATACCTCTTATTCGAAAAACTTTAAAAGAATTCTTTCAGATTTCTTTTTACTACTCTACATAAGTCATGGCTGGATTTGTTTCTTCTTTATCATATAGATTTATGGCTGATCATGATGCCTGGAGAGAACTGGCTGAATTATATATCTCTCTCAAAATGTAAGCAATTTCCCATTCGAGTTTTTTTCTATCGATTAGTACTGACCGAATCGGTCTATTGTGTTCCCAATTGAGAGATTTGTATTTTGTATCTATGTCTTAGGTACAAGCAAGCAGTTTTTTGCTATGAGGAGCTGATATTATCTCAGCCCACGGTTCCTCTGCATCACTTAGCTTATGCAGATGTAAGTGGCTCTTCGTTCCCGATTGCTCGTATCTTCCGCTTCTTTAACTTCAATGTTCTAGGGAAGTTTATTGGGGTATAAAGTTCGTACATTCTTTGTTCATCATTCATAAATTTGACCGAGCTTCATGTCGGTGCTGGCTGCACGGGTCCTTTATTAGATCACATTGATTGTCTAATGATTCATTTCTCCTGCAATCTTATAAAATATGAGGTAGGAAGGTCGATAGCAGAATGTTTTGAGTTGAGTAGTCCCGGACAGGCGGGCCTCGCTTTCTGTAATTATTAGCTTGACTCGATTCTTCTGGGCTGGAGTGACTTTCTTTGAGTGGATTCCCTTTGTAGGGCTATTGATTTTGTGTTGCCTTTGTATATTCATTCATTGAAAGCTTGGTTTCTTTCTTTAAAAGAACTAGACTCTAATGGAAAGCATTAGAGGTCCATAGCCAACAGAGCTAGCTTCCGGTTCACCGGATTCCCTATACCGAGCCTGTTTCTCACGTCTTGGGGCACTTTGATAGCATTTTAAACAAACGAATAAGATATATAGAATTCCTACTAAATCAGACTGATTGTGTAACGGCTCAAGTCCACTGCTAGCAGATATTGTCCTCTTTGTGCTTTTCCTTTCGGGCTTCCCCTTAAGGTTTTTAAAACGCGTCTGCTAGGGTGAGGTTTTCACACCCTTATAAAGAATGCTTCGTTCTCCTCCCCAACTGATGTGGGATCTCACAATCCACCCTCCTTCAGGGTTCAGTTTCCTCGCTGACCCTTGTTCTCTTCTCCAATCGATGTGGGATCCCCCAATCTACCCCCTTTCAGGCCTAGCGTCCTTGCTAACACATCGCCTCCTATCCACCCCTTTGAGGCTCAGTCTCCTCTCTAGCACATTATTCGGTGTCTGGCTCTGATACCATTTGTAACGGCCCAAGCCCATCGCTAGCAGATATTGTCCTCTTTGGGCTTTCCCTTTCGAGTGTCCCTTCAAGGTTTTTAAAACATGTCTGCTAGGAAGAGGTTTTCACACCTTTAGAAAAAATACTTTGTTCTTCTCTCCAACCGACGTGGGATCTCACAGATTGGATTATAGTTACCAACCTTCCACTACTAGAGAAGAATGTTCCTTCCAAGCCGTTCCACAAGACCCCAAACGGAACGGGACCTAGGATTTTGACCCAACTGAAGTCATAAACAAGTCATCGGATGATCGACTTGAGATGGGGCTGGGGTCGGGAAAGTTATATGTTTTTGTATATTTCTCTTTGAGCGTTTTACGCCCAAGATAACAGCTGAAAAGTACCCACATTTCTAAAATACAGGTACTTTACACACTAGGCGGCCTAGAAAACCTTCAGACAGCAAAGAAATACTATGCATCTACTATAGACTTGACTGGAGGCAAAAATACGAGAGCCCTGTTCGGCATTTGCTTGGTAAGCTCTCTCTGCCAATCTTCTGCACACAGCAATTGTTATACTCATTATAACCATGCGTTTGATACCCCACACTGTCATGGAACATCTCCTTCGTTTTCGGCTAATAACTCGAGCTTTATGTCTCCTCTGTGTTTCTTTGTACCTCTATGATATGACTTCGTCAGCTTTTGTCCCAAAACGAAAGTTAAATTATCATTGTAGTCTCTGAACTTCGAGTAACAGCTCAAGCCCACCGCTACTAGATATTGTCTTCTTTGAGCTTTCTATTTCGGGCTTCCCTTCAAGGTTTTGAAAACGCGTCTGCTAGGGAGAGGTTTTCACACCCTTATAAAGAATGCTTCGTTCTCCTCCCCAATCGATATGAGATCTCACCGTTAAGGTGGGGAAATGAGATCCCACATCGATTGCGGAGGAGAACGAAACATTTTTTATAAGGGTGTGGAAACCTCTCTCTAGTAGACGTGTTTTAAGAACTTCGAGGGGAAAGCTCAAAGAGGACAATATGTGCTAGTGCGGTGGGCTTGGGCTTCGGCTGTTACATCCTTGTTCCTTCTTTAATGTGTTTTATGTTGATTTGGTATCTGGTAAAACAGTAACAAAACCTGACATGGCACCATGTAGAAGTTGACACGTTACCACATCAACTTCTTATACGCACGAGACAATATGGCATAGTATCGAGGTCTATTTCCACATGGTGCCATGTCAGAACCGAAACGAACTAAAGTAGCGACGATCAAAGCGTTTAATAAAGTCTAAAGTATGCAGACCAGAAGTATAATTCCTCACAAACTTAAAACAAAGGCAACAACTCACCTAGAATTCCTCGCATTCCCGTCGTTTTTCGAGCTAATTTTTGTCCTTTTCTTTCGTTAAACAGTGTACTTCTGCCATTGCACAACTAAGTAGAGGCCGAAACAAGGAAGACAAGGAGGGTCCAGAGCTGCAGTCTTTAGCAGCAACAGCCTTGGAAAAAGATTACAAACAAAGAGCTCCACAGAAGCTTTCTCTGCTTTCTTCTGTATTGAAGAGCTTGAAAGTGTCTCCATAACTTTTCCTCCTTTGAACGGTACCTCTCTTTCTCTCTCTAGGATTAAGTGTTTAGCAACTGGTAGTTGATATCAATTCATTTCCTTGTGATTTTTCCCTATGAAAGTTCTTCTTCTGTTTCCATAAACTCCTAAGTATGGGAAGTGATGTATTTTTAAGCCTAATTTAATGATGGCCCAGCTACAATAGATAGATATAAGAGATCTTCTTGTTCTTCTTTCACTATGATTGATTCTCATGCTCCAAATATCGGGCTCAAATCGATCGTCAAATGAAGAATTTGACAAAAGCCGAGCCTCCCGTGGAGGCAAGTGAAGTTGGTGAGGTGTATGCTCGCTGTCACGGTCATGCTCGTTCAGAGCGTGTTGCCCATGACCGCATGCCCATGCCAAGTCAAACCCTTTATGTTTTTCTATGTTGTAATGTTTTCCTTACGTTTCGAAAAAATCATGTCTAGGCCTCGAAATGTACTATAGGGGATATGACTAGTTGTCAACTTCTCCCTACTCGATAGTTATATAGGGAGATATGACTAGTTGTCAACTTCTCTCTACTCGATAGTTATATAGGGGGATATGACTAGTTGTCAACTTCTCCCTACCCGATAGTTATATGCAGTAAGTCGTTGTCAACTTCTCCCTACCTGATAGTTATATGCAGTAAGTCGTTGTTGCCTTTTGCTTACAAACCCATATAATACCAATTTCAATTTCTCAAAACTTGCTTTCGAAATCTCTCTACCCCGTTTTCTAAAACTTTCTTCTTGAATCGGGGCCAGAGGCGCGAGCATACGTCGCTTGGCCGTAAGCGACGCAAGAACGAATAGGCTTAACTCACTTGCTGCTGGGAAGTGAGTGTCGTACAATCGCAAGTCCGCTGCTATCAAAGTGCGATTATGACATTGGGTAGCTATCTCAAACGGTTTAGAAACCTTTGGTCATTTTCGGTAACCTGGTTGATCTACATGACTCAGCTATTAGTTAGTACCGACACAAATTTGAGAGGCACATGCCACCTTTTATTTTGTTATTGAGTACTATAAATATGCTATAATAGTGTTATTATTTTGCCATTTTTGGGATAAAATTATAAATATGATTATTTTTGTTGGATATTATGGTGTTAATTTTGGATCAATGAAAGCATATTATTTAGAAAAGAAAGGCAGTTGGTAAGGAAAATGACAAATTATCTTTTTAGTTGTTTAATATTTTTCTTTTAATTCTATTTTTTTTCTCTATTTCAATAATTGGCATTTTAATTCTTTATTTATTAAAATATAATTTAGATTGATATTATCCATTAATTTTCCACCATATTAAATCCCAAATATATTTTCTAATTTAGTTAACAATTAAATATTAATTTACTCAAAAGGTCGATAATTATTAGACATACCATCTCGATTCCTCTTCTAAAAAGCACAAAAAGAAAGAGAAGGCATCTGAGACGTAGCATGTTTGCGAGGGACGTTCCCGATCGATTCAGCCTCAGAAGATTCGTCAAAGCAAGCCATTATGCGTAAACATATTACTACAGCATCAAGTAGTAAACTAAACATTTGACACTAGAGGTTCGATCATACATGCAAACACAACCTTTGCACGCCTCCGTTACCTTTTGGGAGGCCTAAGCCCCATAGAAACTGTCTACCTGAGACTGTCCCTTGGCCTGTAGGTCCTGACACAAGGTTAGAATTCTAGTTCTTTCAGAGTGGTATCTCACTGATGGCTCGGGCCCCCTCGGAAGGGGGCCTTCTTCGCCCTCCACCTACACTGAGCAGGAAAGGCCCAAAGCCAATCCCAAAGAACAGTGAAGCTTCATAGGGTCTTTCTGTACAAGTGTAGGTAGTCCGCATCTTCACAGACATGTCTATTTCACAGAGCCTCTCTCCGAGATAGTGCCCAGATCATTATGCCTTTCGTGCAGGTCGAAGCTTACCCGACAAGGAATTTCGCTACCTTAGGACCGTTATAATTACGGGCGCCGTTCACCTGGGCTTCGGTTGCCGGCTCCCTGAATTTTCTTACACAAAATTAGACTTAACAAGATTAAAATCACTTTCGGTAGGATTTGAACCAATGACATCAAATTTTGGAGATCAAGCTCAACTAAAGGCGTTTTCTTATTATATTTTCAAAACCCGAGTCAAGTTGTTCGTCACAATATATTTTAAATTGGTTCATGCGGGACCTTAATTTCACGTTTTTCAATCAATTTGATATCTTATCTCGATTATTTTCAAAACTTTATGTATCATTTTTAAATTATTGTCACTTCTCAATAAATGACAAAGTGTTAGTCTATTTTAATTAAAGCATACCAAACGCTTTATTAACATAATAAAATATTTAAAAGAAATTAATCGTTATAAATAATTAGGTAAAAAAATGATTGGAGTTAAAAAGGGACAAAATTGGGGCGAGATTTATGTAATTAAAAAATACCCAAAATAATCATATCAATTTCCTTCTAAACCCTTTAGTTTAGGTCATGATATCACAAACGTGTGGGACAAATTAGTCAATGGTTATTTTTATTTTTATTTTTGTATTTATAAAATGTATTTAATTTAATTAATTTAATTAAAAACTAGTTTTAGAGACGTCCATGAACCAACTCAACCCAAGAAAATTTTCATGTATTCGAACACGGCCCAACCCAAATAGATTAATAATCCAACTCAAATCACATTTATTGGGTTGGGTCGGGTCGATTAAGTTTTTTGAATCATTGTGTAACAACCCAAGTCTACCACTAGCCGATATTGTTCTCTTTGGATTTTTCCTTCCGAGCGTTGGGCTCCAAAAAGGGTGGACATTAGGGGTGTGCCAACGAGGACGCTGGCCCTGAAACGGGAAGATGCTGGACTCTTAAGGGGGTGGACGGTGAGATCCCACGTCAATTGAAGAGGGGAATGAAACATTCCTTACAAGGTAGTGTGGAAATCTTTCCCTAACAAACGCGTTTTAAAAGTCTAGAGTGAAAGTCCGAAGGGAAAACGTAAGAAGAACAATATCTGCTAACGGTGGACTTAAGTTATTATATCGAGCCTTTTGAACACTTTTAATTTTTTTTTCGGGTCAAATCCCGAAGGGTTATTAGTGCCGAGCATGAATGAAAGACTTTCTCCAAATTTGATTTTGGAGCAAGAAAATTGTGTATGTCAAAGTAAGAGAGAGAAACAACAGGCTGTCCCTTTTGTCATGGAACCCATGAAAACAAACTTATCAACTTCAAATGCTACACTACACATTAGGGCAAACCATTAATGTTCCCTTTCCACAATAATTCAATAATATATATACGTACCCGTTAATTTATATTTTTTTTAGTTCAACAACGGGTTTTGCAACTTCTTTTTTTAGTTTATCGACAGGTAGTGTGCGGGACATTCAAACCTCTAGCCTCTCGAGGGATATATCGTTTACCAGTTGAGTTATGTTGAAGTTATCTTTTCTGTGACCTCCTAAGAATTTTCATGAGATGCATGTGAGTGAGGACTCGTGTTGGTTTGAGGGGATAGTCTTCACTTTTAAAAGTGAGTAGTGGGTAACATGACTATGTCGCAGGGAATGCCGGAGAATGTCGGAACTATCAAGTGTTGAATTTAGATTTCAAATCATGATCCGAATCTTGGACATGGGTCGTTACAAATTTACCTAGATTTTTGGGTAAGTTGTCTAATCGATACAATAAAGTAAGTGAAAATTGAAAAACCGAACAAAAATGATTCAAATTAGGTCAAATCTATTTCATTGAACTGATTCTGAGTGAAGTTAAAGGGTCTTCAGGAGATCGGTTTGATTTGTCAAAAAATTCACTGAATCAAACTACTTAGAGTCCAAAAATCGAATCGACCCATTTGTTGTATCTATGGTAAGAACCGAACCGACCCACTTATATCCATAACCGAGAGACATAGGTTTGTTTGTCCATCTATCGAACTCTTGTTTTGATTTGACATGTGATATGTTATGACTAAAATTTCAATGCAAACAATCAGATGGAAACAAATTCTAGTATTTAGAGAATGATAGGCATAAGTTTCTCACATTTTGAGTGCATTGAATGCACCAAATAATTTTTCTTTCCTATCTTACACTAAAACAACCAAATTTGTCCCATCAATACTATCAACGAGTGCACGGAGTCGATATAAGTTTACGATCAAATTTCTCGACTGAAAGCTAGCTGTACACAATCAATGATTTTACTCTATCTTTGAACTTGTATTTTGTTTTTTACATGTGTGATTCCACATCAGTTAGAGAGAGAAACGAAACATTCAAGGGTGTGGAAACTTCTCCCTAACAAATGCATTTCAAAACAGTGAGGCTGATGATGATACGTAATAGGCCAAAACGGACAATATCTACTAGGGGTGGGGTTAAGCTGTTACAAATGGTATCAGAGCCAGACACCAGACATTGGCCCCCAAGGGGGTGGATTGCTCACTGACGATGATGCTGAGCTCCCAAAAAGGGTGGATTGTGAGATCCCCATCAGTTGGAGAGAGAAACGAAACATTCGTTATAAGGGTGTGGAAACACTTACCTAATAGATCGTGAGACTGACGATGGATACGTAATGGGCCAAAGCAGATGTGAAAAACCTCTCCCTAACTGACCATGAGGCTGACGTAGACCTTGCCTAAACCCGAATTGGCGGGCAAAGAAGTTAGGGTGTCGACCTCCATGAGAGTGGTGAGGAAGCCTGATTGGGTCATCAGATTAGGCTTTCCGTAAGGAACACCGCCCCTTTCAAGCACCAGAACCCGCTCCCAGGTTCTACTGAAATATGAATTCCGTCTGGGGAAGGCTTGCATCAGGCTCCGCAGCCAACCGTAATAGATACATAACGGGTCAAATGGGATACAGAAACCTCTCTCTAACAAACCATGAGACTGACGACGGATACATAACATGTCAAATGGGATCTGAAAAACCTCTCCCTAACAAACCGTGAGACTGATAGTGTATACGTAACGGGTCAAAGTTGACAATATCGAATTTGCAAATACTGACGGTGGTGGAAAAATGAATAATGCAATCCAGGGTAAGGAACAGCATATCTCAGTCACCAAACATATCTGTTTCAGAGGGACCCACTCAGCCAAAGAAGTAGACGAAATACATCGAAGCGCAAGCAGGTCGTTTTTTGTCTTCTAAAGGATAATATTATTATTTTTTATTTTAATTAAAAAAAAAAAATTAAAGCGTCAGAGATATTAAGCCGCGTGACTTAAGCTGGTTGACTGCAGATCGAAGAAGAGGTGGGCCCCACTCCTCTTATGTGGTCGGCTTTTCCAATAAAATTATTTTATTTTATTTTTTAATTTATTTTAGATTTAAATCTTATATCAAATTTATTAAATAATTTAAAATATATAAATAAATTAAAAAAAATTAAAAAACAATTACATTTTAAAAAATATAAAGTGAATTTGAACTATTATTTTATTACCCACTGAAAAATTTTAAAAAATAATTAAATTAAATAATCATTTGGATAATAAAAAAAATACTTTTATTTATTATTATTATTATTTTGGTGTTTGTCATAGATCCCAATAGTTTTTATAATTGTGCGTGCCATGCTCACTTGAATTTTGTGAAATAAATAATATTAAATTTTGTGGATTTAAAATTAATTTATAAAATTATTTTATTTATAGTATATGGTATAATTAAATATAAAATAATAACGTAATATATATATATATATATATATATATATATATATATATATTTATGGGTGTATTTTTCTTGTAATTATTTATTTATTTTAATTGAATTAGGTCTATTTTTATTAATTAGAGTCATCGACCCTTTTTCGAATTAAGTTAAAGGAATCAACCTAGGTTGCATTAGGATCGCCTCATGAGGCTGATCGTAGGGTCTGCTTTGATCTCGTGTCGAGGTTGACTATGTGGGTTTAGACTTTGACCCAGACTCGTCCCTTCTCATTTGCTCTGTTTCTTACCATTTGGGTTTATTCTTATAGATTCGGTTTTACCATGTATATAATTAACCGGAATAAAATAGAGGTAAAAATGTAAAATATTAAAAAGAAAAAGAGAGAAAAGAGTGTGTGATGGAAATGGGATGAGGAGATAATTAAAGGAAATCTTGGACTGAACTATCACATGCAATGTTCCTATACATTTATTACTTCTATGTCTTTTTCTGCTTTTTATTTTATTTTATTTTATTTTTATTTTTTAATCTCTATTTTTTTTCTCCCACCAGAGATTGATCTATAATATATTCTTATTATTTTGTTAAAAAAAATAAATTTATTTAGATAATTAAACCCGAGAGATAACGATGGAGACGGGGAAACTCCATCGTTATAAAATTCGGGACCTAAATTCGTTTCACGATAGTTTATATTTTTCAAAAGATATTAAATATTCTAATAAATCAAATAATATTTCATCAGAAAATAAATAATGTCAACATAATTTTAAAAAATTCGTATTTTATTAATAAATAGGCAGGTGGGGACGTTCCCTGTCCCTCATCCCTGTTTAGCTAACAGAGAAAAATCTCTTCTAAAAATCTCTAGATAGTTGGGTCGTAGTTAGTATACTCATACATTGACTGTATTAGAGAACTCGAGCGTCTAACTCGATCAAGAACACAAATTTTATGTTAGTTGAGCTATGTTCGTGGGAGTACAGATTCTTTGAGCACTGAGATATCATATATGTGACCCGTGAAATTAAGAAACCTAGAGGCTATAGCCTATGATAAATAAATTCACGTACCCTAAGTGGAGAATCGACTATAAGAGTCAAACGATGTCTCGAAAAAAAAACATTTATCTCAAAATCTTAAATGTTTTGTTTTAATGCTAGAATGTAGCTAAAAACTATAAATGGTTTTGTAATAATAATAAGTATAGAAATTCTTTCCCTTTATTCCATTTATCATCTTATACTTAATGACTAACAAAATAACATTTTATATCAACTAAAAAATGGAATAATGTTTTTAATGAAATTAAAATGGATAAAAAATAGTTTATATATATATATATATATATAGTACTAAATTGATGTTGTAACCGAGCTTAATTGACACATGTATTGTGGTGAGATCCCATATCGGCGGGAGATAGGAACGAAACATTCTTAGAAACCTCTCTCTAGTAGACACATTGTAAAACTGTGAGGTTGACGACGATATATAACGAACCAAAGTAGATAATATTTGCTAACGATGGACTTGGGTCGTTAGAAATGGTATCAGAGCCAGTCATCGGGAGATGTGTCAGTGAGGACGCTGCCCTCAAGGGGAGTGGATTGTGAGATCTCGTATCAGTTGGAGAGAGGAACGAAACCTTCTTTATAAGAGTGTGGAAACCTCTCCCTAGTAGACGCGTTTTAAAACTGAGGTTGACGACGATATATAACAAACCAAAACAGACAATATCTGGTAACGGTAGGCTTGGGCCGTTGCAAATGGTATCAGAGTCAGTCACCAGGCGATGTGTCAACGAGGACGCTGTACCTAAGGGGAGTAGATTGTGAGATCTCGTATCTGTTGGAGAGGGGAACGAATCCTTCTTTACAAGGGTGTGGAAACCACTCCCTAGAATACGCGTTTAAAAACCGTCAGGCTGATGACGATACGTAACGGGTCAAAGCGAACAATATCTACTAGTGGTGAGCTTGGGCTACAAAGGCTTCTTTATAAGGGTGTGGAAACCTCTCCGTAGTAGATGTCTTTTAAAACCGTGAGACTAATGACGATACAAAATGGGTCAAAGCGTACAATATCTACTAGCGGTAGGCTTGAGCTGTTACACTTGCTCTCGCACAATCCTGTTTTCACTGTTTAAGCTACTCCATTTTGAAAGCTTGACCTATTCGGGAATTTCTCGATCTACACTTATTTCTAACTCCCCGAAACACTGGGTATCTGAATATCGATCGTTTGAGCCTCACCCTTACCAACACGATCAATAAATCCATATTTTTCGAAGCTTATTATCCACTATATCTAACTTTATAATATAAAAAAACATATCCATTAATTGTCACTCACAAATTTATCCTAAAGTTTTTGCTTTTTTTATTTGAAAATGTTTTGGAAAATGTGTTCAAAATATTTTAATGTTTTTTTTATTTATACTTTGCTAATTATTCCCATCTTTTTCGTTGCTTTCATGATTCCCTACATAGATTATCAAATCAAAACTAAAAAACAAATTTTAAAAAATAATTAACTGAAAAAAAAGAGAGGAAATTACCCAAAAGGGTAATACAAAGAAGAGGAAAATAAATAAATAAATAAATAAAAGCTGACAAATTTACAGAAATGGCCCCCAAAGTATTCCATTGGTGCTCCCTGTTTTTTCTCATTATTTTCACTTTGACCCTTTGGTCTCCCCCATGAAATCATCACTTTCTTTTGTTTCAGCCCGTTAAATCTACCCTTAGCCGATATTGTTTTATTTGGGCTTTTCTTTTTAGGCATCCCCTCAAGTTTATTTCTACACCTTTATAAACGATGTTTCGTTTTCCTCTCAAACCGATGTGGGATCTCACAATCCACCCCATTTCGTGTCCCAGCGTCCTCATTGACACTCGTTCCCTTCTCCAATCGATATGGGACCCCCAATCCACCCCCTTTGGACCCAAACGTTCTTATTGACACACTGCCTCGTGTCCACCCCCTTTGGGGCTCAGCCTTCTCCTTATCACACCACCCCGTATATGACTCTAATACCATTTGTAACGCCCAAAACCCACCACTAACAGATATTGTTCTCTTTGGACTTCCGTCAGGGTTTTGTAACGCATATACTAGGAAGAGGTTTCCACACCCTTATAAAAGATGCTTCGTTCTTTTCCCCAATAGAGTTGGGATCTCACATCAGTTAGGAAGAAGAATGAAACATCTTTTATAAAGATGTGGAAACCTCTCCACAGCAGCAGACCCATTTTTAAACTGTAAGCCTAAAAAGTACAATACTACTAAAAATGAGCTTGAACAGTTACATTAATTGGTTGAACTATGCCCAAGTTCATAAAGATGAGGTATTAAACACAATCACGAGTGGAGTAGAAGCTCCTACTCCTCTTTGGTGTCTCCAAAATGGCCACTTTCATAGTCTCTTTCCACAAGGGTATTGATTGATTCATCCTCACCCCATGAGCTCTACCTCCCACCTCTCTCACCTGCTTTCTCTAAGTCTATTCCATGATTTGGTTTGCTCTCACAAACCACATTATTTGAGATTTGACCCACCATCCCCCAAAATCTCTCCTCTCTAAGCCCCCTTTTCTTCCATTTCTCTTTCACTTTGACCCATCATTCCCACCTCTCAAGAATTCCAAGTAAACCCATTAAATACTTTTGCTTTAGATTCATACAGTATTCTCCCCTTCTTCTCTCTCTAAAACACTCCCATTTTGGTTCTCTCTCCAGGATTTTGTCTTCTAGTGTCTTCTTTGTTTCATTTGGGGTTACTGCTGAAGTTTCCAACAATGGAGAAAGCCCTTCACTATCTTCTTCCCCTTCCCCTTCAGCTTCTCTTTGTCTTCCTTTTGCTTCGAAAACGGTGTCGTTCCTTGTCTCCTCTGTAGCTACCTCTCCTAACCCTGTTTTCTTCTTCTTCTTCTTCTTCTTCTTCTTCTACATTTGCTTGGATCCACATTTCTACTTCCACTTTCAGGTGCCTCTCTCTTTCCCTTTTTTCTTTGCTGCATTCGATCTTTTTGGGGTTTTTTTTGTGATGAACTGAACATTTTGCACTGTTCTTCTTTGTGGGTTCTTAAGATTTTGCAGTGTTCTTATTGAAATGGACAGTGTTCTTTGTGGGTTTTTCAGATTTTGCAGTGTTCTTCTTGAAATGGGCAGTGTTCTTTCTGGGTTTTTAAGATTTTGCAGTGTTCTTATTGAAATGGGCAGTGTTCTTCTTTGTGGGTTTGTAAGATTTTGCAGTGTTCTTATTGAAATGAACAATGTTCTTTGTGGGTTTTTAAGATTTTGCAGTGTTCTTCATGAAATGGGCAGTGTTCTTCTTTGTGGGTTTGTGAGATTTTGCAGTGTTCTTAATGAAATGGGTGAATCTTGTAAATTTGGTTGATGGGTATCTTTTATTTTTGTTTGAAGCTAAGAACAAGCTGTAATGGTAGGAGAAATAGAGTGGGATCCTTATGATTCAATGTGGTTTCTTGGATAATATCTCTGTTTCCCAGCTTTTTCCCCTTTGAAATGATACCTTTTCTTTTGTGTACTCAGAAAAAGGGTATCATTAGTCTGTTCAAATGGAGCAATATGAAGTTCTGGAGCAAATAGGGAAGGGATCCTTTGGTTCTGCTCTTCTTGTCAGACATAAACATGAAAAGAAGAAGTAAGCATTGTTGTTCATGTTTGATATTGTTCTTGTTCTTGTTCTTGTTCATCTCTGCTTTAAAACATTAAATTTGTGAAAACATAGTGTTTTAGGTGCATTGGTTTGGTTTGGTTTTGATTGTTTTGATCTTTGTATGTTAAGGTATGTGTTGAAAAAGATTCGTCTCGCTCGTCAGACCGATCGGTCCCGTAGATCTGCACACCAGGAGGTTTGTGTTTTTTTGCTTTGACATTTTTCTTTAGCTTTAATAACATTGTCTAGATTTGTTGTTGGATCGTTATGCTGTTTCGGTGTACTTTAGAACTTGTTTCGATTCTTGTTGACTATGATAATTGACTCGACGTGCTGCATAACTTGTTTAGATTCTCGTCTTACTACTGTAATAACTGTTCGAGTGTGTGATAGTATTGTTGTGCTTTATGACTTGTTTAGTGTGAGATCCCACGTCGGTTGGAGATGGAAACGAAACATTCTTTGTAAGGGTGTGAAAACCTCTCCCTAGTAGACGCGTTTTAAAACCGTGAGACTGAGAGTGATGCATAATGGGCTAAAACGGACAAGATATGCTAGTGGTGGGTTTGGGCGGTTATAAATGGTGACTGGTGCAAGACACTTGTCGGAGTAGGGCTAGACCTTCTCCATAGTAGACGTGTTTTAAAACCTTGAGGGAAGTTCGGAAGGGAAAGCCCGAAGAGGACAATATTTGCTAGCGGTGGGCTTGGGATGTTACGTTTAGATTCTCTTCAACTGTCTCGGTGTGCTTCATAACTTATAAGGGTGCGGAAACCTCTCCCTAGGAGATGCGTTTTTATAACCGTGAGGCTGAGAGCAATGTGTAACGGGCTAAAATGGACAATATCTACTAGTGGTAGGTTTGAGCTGTTATAAATGTTAACTGGTGCGAGACACTGGTTGGAGTAGGGCTAGACCCTCTCCATAGTAGACGCGTTTTAAAACCTTGAGGGAAGTTCGGGAGGGAAAGCTTAAAGAGGACAATATCTGCTAGCGGTGGGGTTGGACTGTTACATTTAGATTCTCTTCAACCGTCCCCGTGATTTTGATCGCACTAGGGGTTACGTTAACAAAATTGCGGTCTATACTAAACTAATATCTTCTCCATTTTCTTGTAGATGGAGCTCATTTCTAGATTACGGAATCCTTTTATCGTGGAGTACAAAGATTCTTGGGTCGAGAAGGTAAATCGAGCTATTGTTGCTTAGTATTGCTATCTACTCTTAAACACACGGTTTTACGACATCGATGACAAATGGTTAACTAAATGCCTCCTCTTATTCTTAAACCGTTCTTTCTTACCATTTGATTTCTTCGGCTCATCGTTATAACGTTATGGTTTAAGTTCGGTCTGTTATTTCTTTGTCGACAGGGTTGCTACGTGTGCATTATTATCGGTTATTGTGAAGGAGGGGACATGTAAGTATTCTTCCAGCTCAATGTCTATGTGTTCCTTATCTATGTAGCATACACTTATTCGAATTTTACAGGGCCGACGCGATAAAGAAGGCTAACAGTGTTCACTTCCCCGAAGAGGTTCTCGTGTTCTTCGTTTCGTTGCTACAAGAATCGTCGAAATTTCATTGAAAATGTCTTTCGGGTTTGTTTAGTACTGCTTATTCATCTCTCGTTTCCGTTTGCAGAAGCTCTGCAAGTGGTTAGTTCAACTTTTGATGGCGCTCGATTACTTGCATATGAATCATATCCTTCATCGGGATGTTAAGGTTCGATATACGTTCATCTTTACAGTGTTCGAATATACCAAGGCGCTTGATTACTTGCATATGAATCATAGTTAGTCAATGCAAACAATGGCAAGCGTTTTCCTAACTATCTGTATCGTGTGATCTGTACAGTGTTCGAATATATTTTTGACTAAAGATCGAGATATACGCCTTGGTACGTGAAATCTTTCTCCGTTCCAACCAATATAAGGAAAATTGTCGATTGAGCGTACTATTGATAAGAATTCACATTTGTGGAACAGGTGACTTCGGACTAGCCAAAATGTTGACATCGGATGATCTTGCCTCCTCGGTGTGTAATTTGAATCGTAAACTTGTGTTCAATTACTAGTATCAATTTTGTATCTGAATACGAGTCTTGTTCAACTGTGCCCACGGACCCGTAAGCCCTCGAGGCAAGGCAAAAAGGAAGAGATGTTTGATATCTTACTAATGTTCTTTAAAACGCTTGGCTTGATAATACAGGTCGTAGGAACTCCGAGTTATATGTGTCCAGAACTTCTTGCTGATATACCTTATGGTTCGAAGTCGGATATTTGGTCTTTAGGTAGGAATGGCTGAACTCGACTTGACCGTGAACCTTATTTGGCGTATCGACTGAAAATTATTCTGTTTTGTATCTGTTTGTCAGGATGCTGTATATACGAGATGACTTCTCTAAAGCCTGCGTTTAAAGCATTTGTAAGTTTCGAACGCCATTTGTTCTCGGCTTGAAAGGATTTAAATTATTGAGGTTTCTACCTAGTGGTTCGAGTCGAGGACGTGGGGGGAGGGGGGGGTATCTTCATGTATATCAACTAAGACCACTCATCGATCCTGCATCGGTTGGAGAGGGGTACGAAACATTCCTATAAGGGTGCGGAAACCTGTTCCTAGCAGACACGTTTTCAAAACCTTGAGGGGAAACCCAAAAGAGAAAGCTCAAAGAGGACAATATCTGCTAGTGGTCAGCTCGGGCTGTTACAAATGGTATTAGAGCCGGGCTTTGGGCAATGTGTGCTTTGGGCAATGTGTGCTAGTGAGGACGCTGGCCCTCAAGGGGGTGGATTGTGAGATCCCACATCGGTTGGATAGGGGAACGAAGCATTCGTTATAAGCGTGTGGAAACCTCTCTCTAGCAGGCGCGTTTTAAAAACCTTGATGGGAAACCCGAAAGGGAAAGCTCAAAGAGGACAATATCTGCTAACGGTGGACTTGGGCTGTTACAAATTGGTAACGCCGAGTGAACACTAGGATAAAAAAATGCCCCCCACGACCCCACGGAGAACGTGTAAACATATATTAGCGGTCTCGATTCCTAAATCCAATCACTTCCCTCTCCAAGATCATTTTCTTTTTTGCTTTCTAGTCCTTGTTCTTTTTCCGCATCACACAACACATTCATTTTAAGTACGATATTGAAAATAGGTAACTTTTCTTTCGAAGAACGACCCAAGCCCACCGCTAGTAGATATTGTCCTCTTTGGGCTTTCCCTTTCGAGCTTCCCTCAAGGTTTTTAAAACGCGTCTACTAGGTAGAGGTTTCCACGTTCCCCTCTCCAACCGATGTGAGATCACGCAATCCACCCCCTTGGGGGCCAGCATCCTCGCTGGCACTCGTTCTCGGGATCTCACGATGCTTTTAGTGTCGACGAGTGTTCTCGGTTTGGCGCTTTCTCTAATTCGGACTTTCTTTTGGGCAGGATATGCAAGCACTTATCAACAAAATTAACAAGTCCATAGTGGCTCCTCTTCCAACAAAATACTCTGGTGCATTGTAAGTTTCCCTCCTCTTTTGCCACTTAGTTTTATCTGCACTATTGCTGATCTAATCGCTTTCTTCTTTGATTTGTAGTCGAGGTCTCGTTAAAAGCATGCTACGCAAAAACCCGGAACTTCGGCCGAGTGTACGTGTACCCTCCTCTCATACTCTACTCTAATATAAACAAAAGAAAACCACCCGATAGTCTAACGAAACATTCTTTATAAGGGTGTCGAAACCTCTCCCTAGCAGACGCGTTTTAAAATCCTTAAGGGGAACCCCGAAAGGGAAAGCCCAAAGAGAACAATATCTGTTAGCAGTGGGCTCGGGTGATTCGATATGTTTTGTTTTAGCGACTGACGTACATTTTGTTTGGCAGGCTGGGGAGCTACTTGGCCATCCTCACTTGCAGCCTTATATTGTTCAGATTCATCTCAAACGGAATAATCCGAGACGCAATACGTTACCAGCACTCTGGCCTGAACCACCTAATTATATGAAGAAGACGAGGTTCTCAGAGCTCTTGCCCAATAAACGACATTCGTTAACCAACGATCGAGCTTTAAATCCAAGCGTTTCTGTAATAGAATACGATTCTCTCAGCTCAACACAGGATATACACGATACACAAAACTACCCAAGTTACAAACCGTCTACTGGTGCCACTCGTGGCGGAGTAGGGGTTCACAAGACACCTTCGAAGTCTGCAGCTAACTCGAAAACTTCACGGCTTCTATCGAAAGCTTATGCCACTCCGAGAAAATGGGATGAACCATTGAAGAACAATAAAAAGTTGGTGAGTAGAAGTTGATCTTTAAAGTCTGGATAGTCTAGCTTTTTCGATACGAACTGAGACGTTATCTTTGTTTACTACAGCTACCGGTTTCATCTACTACTAAATCTCATGTTCGTCGGGCATCATTTCCGTTGCATACGAAAGCTATCACTGATCAAAGCCCTTGTAGACCGAATGTTGGTATTCTTCATCATATGAACTCTCCAGACGTGTCGGTGAATTCTCCGCGAATCGACAGGATTGCAGAATTCCCTTTAGCATCATACGATGATACCTTTCTTCCTGTTCGTCGAGCTTCACTGCCATCCATGCATGGATCAACCGGCTCGGTACAGCACATTGATTGTTCGATTACCAAAGATAAATGTACAATCCAAGTTTGTGATAAGGTTCGTTCAACTCCTGGATACACCGGCGCATGGCAGGGTATACAATGCAGCTTATTTCAAGACGACCGAGAAGCTAGAAGTGATTCCTCGGATCAGAATGCAACCGCAGGAGCATCGAGCCATACTTCATCAGATTTACGACGACGCCATTTTGATACTTCATCATTACAACAGAGAGCCGAGGCTTTGGAAGGTCTGCTCGAGTTTAGTGCCCGATTGCTGCAGCAAGAGAGGTACGAAGAGCTCGGAGTGTTACTGAAGCCATTCGGACCTGGAAAGGTCTCCCCAAGGGAAACTGCTATCTGGTTGAGTAAGAGCTTCAAAGAAAACACCGTCAAGCAGGAAACGTAAACCGCTCTCGTAACTACGTTAGAATTTTTAAGTGTATGATCTAGAGTCGTTACATTTTCTCAAGGTATATTTGACACCTAGGCAGATTCCGGGAAGACGATAAGAATATCTCGTCACTGTAGATTATAATTCTTTTAGTTCGATAGACGACGTAACGAGTAGCGGTTATTCGTGATTCTTAGTTTTAACTCGTCGGTAGTAGTAGATGATATGCAGCAGTTCTGTTGTAGGAATGTAAATTTACAACAGTTTAGATGGCTAAGATGGTCTCGGTTTCAATGGCTGTTCTTTTAATGTTGACGTGGTTCGTCAGGGCAACTAAATTTGCTGCTCGTTGAATCGCCATCACTGTTCTTGGACGATTTTGTTAACTGATAAAGCTTCATGAACCAGGCGTGGCTGTGACTTTCATAACCATTATGTTTCATGTTTTGTAAAGCACTTTCTGCTTGCTTGCACTTCGGCCAGGCGCTCGAGCCGGGTCGCTGTCTTGGTTCACTTTGCGACCGAAGTTTTGCCCTCGAGGACTCTGTCTTGGCCATATAATTTGGATAGCAGGGATACTCATCAGGCACGAAGTCTGAATGCCTTGGCGGATCCATGGAACATAATGTTCTATTAGCGGTTGGTTTTGACATTAAAACATAGTACTCGGAAATGTTTGGTTCTATGGAGATGGAGTGGTTTTTGTGCTGATGTTGTCTTGTGGGGATCGAAAGATTTCGTCGACAAGAACAAGCATTTGGTCCGTTCTTTATCTGTTCAACTTGAGAACGACTTATATAGCCACTTTTGCTCTTATATGATCTCCGAGTTTCGTCGAGATTCATGTTTAGCATCTCCTAAAGGAAAGCAAAAAAGTTACGAAGTGAAAGAACTGCTATGAAATAAACAATGAAGTTTACTTTATATACTTTCTCGAGATTGGTGTTAGGGAGATGTTCATGTCGTCTCCGTTCGAGAAGCTTGTCCTCCTCCTCGAGCAGCTGGATTCGATTTGCCCGAGCTCGAACTTGGATTGCCATAAGAGCTTGCAGGCTCTTTAGGGTAGTAGCTGTTTGTTTCCTCACAAGATAGCCTCTCACAAGGGCTTGTATCTTAACCAGTGCCCTTAAAGCATACAATGCTTTCCTTGCCTAACATAAGCAGATCACAAGAATTGAACACGCCGTAGTCGACGTTTTATCGAAATATCTATCTAAAGATCAAAGGAACAAAAACCCGTTACCAAATAGGACCGATATGCGGATTGGATTGTCGTAGCAGCTGCATTTTGAACGCTTGACGGTGGTTTCTTCTTCATGGCTCCCGGCTTGAAAACGTCAATGGTATCAATGGAATCAACTGATTTAGAAAGCTTATGAGTTAAAAGAAGACGACTATTAGTTGAAGATGTCTTTCTAAAACTCAATCTGAGCTTCAAATTTTCAGAGTCGGAAAAGGAAGAAGAACTAGAAGAACCGACGAGTTTCTTCTTGTTCTTCTTTTGAATCTTTTCCTTTTGCCCGACAAGAAAATTCACTACCCATTTTCCGGCCTTCCTCATCTTAGTTTAAAAAAATAAAACCCGAGCTTCTTTAGAACAAGAAACAAAGAAATGGGTTATTGAATAGATTTCAAAAAGTTTAAATTTTGATGATCAAATTCATATGGGTGTGGGGATTTTTTGTGTTTGGCAAGCTAGAAAGTTATTTTCTTTCCATTTTTATAAATGATTTCTTGGAAGTGTTGACTTCTAAAAGCAAAATTTTTCTCCTTTTGATCTGATTTTTTTGTTCTTTTGATTTGTTTTTGTGTTCTTGTGTCTTTTGTCCACTTTGTTTATGGCCTGCAGATTTTGTTTTTCCTATGGGTGAGCCATTTGGCCACTATCATGATGGTTTGATGGGAAGATACCTTTCATATTGTACCCTTGGCATCTTCATGTCCGCTTTTCTCCGATCGCAATCTGAGGGCTTCCGTGCATACTTCGAGGTGATCATCACCACCGACACCTTACATCTTGGCATGGTAAAATGGAAGAGAGACGAAGAAACTCAGTTGGTTACTAGAGACGAGTAAGAGTCAGAGACGTTCTCAATGTGAGGATTGCATTTGTCTTGTTCCACACACAGAACGTACGTTGACACCTTACATCTTGGTATAGTAAAACGGGAGAGGGACGAAGAAACTCCGTTGGCTACTAGAGATGCGCAAGATTCAGGGACGCACTTAACGTGAGGGCCGCACATGCCCTCTTCCACATACTAAATGTACACCGACACCTTACATCTTGGCATAGTAAAACGGGAGAGGGACAAAGAAACTTGGTTGGTTACTAGAGACGAGCAAGAGTCATGGACGTTCTCAATGTGAGAGTTGCATTTGCCTTCTTCCACATATTGAACGTACACCGACACCTTACATCTTGACATAGTAAAATGGTAGAGGGATGAAAAAACTCGATTGGCTACTAGAGACGAGCAAGAGTTAGGGACGCACTTAACGTGAGGGTCACACTTGCCTTCTTCCACACATTGAACGTACTCTGGTACTTTACATCTTGGCATAGGAAAATGGGAGAAGGACGAAGAAATTGGATTGGTTACTAGAGACGAGTAAGAGTCAGGGACGTTCTCAATGTGAGGGCTACATTTGCCTTGTTCCACACACATAACATACGTTGGCACCTTACATCTTGGCATAGTAAAACGGGAGAGGAACGAAGAAGCTCGATCAGCTACTAGAGATGAGCAAGAGTCAGGGACGCACTTAACGTGAGGGCCACATTTACCCTCTTCCACATACTGAATGTACACCAACACCTAACATCTTGACATAGTAAAACGGGAGAGGGACGAAAAAACTCGATCAGCTACTAGACACGAGCAAGAACCAAAGACGCAATTAACGTGAGGGTCACACTTGCCTTCTCCCACACATTAAACGTACACCGACACCTTACATCTTGACATAGTAAAACAAGAGAAGGACAAAAAAAAACTTAACCGGCTATTAGAGACAAGCAAGAGTCTAGAACGCATTCAACGTGAGGGTAGCACTTACGCTCTTTCACACTCTAAACATAGTTCTATAACACGTTTTAAAACAAAAAAGGCTAAAACAGGTCACTTATGGTCGTTTTTCGACGTGAGATTAGGGTCTAATCTAAAATTATATTTTATATAACAATAAATAATTAAAATTTAAATAAGTTGTTTAAGGCCTAAGGATGTTGGAAGCTTCTAGTTTAGTTGGAATTAATAATTAAAGGCCTCAATTATTGACCAAATGGCAATTAAATCTCTTAATAATTTTATTTTATAGCCTTATTGTTGAATATTGAAGCATCACACATTAAAAAAAAATTAATAAAACCAAATTCCTTTGAATTTTCTAGTAACCTTATTTTATTATTATTTTTTTACCCCAATTTTCGTGCTATTCACCTATTTTCTTGTACTTACCTTTCACTTATTTATTTACGGGCCGAACACGGAAAAAAAACCTAATTCTGCTCTGCGTAAGATAGTCGAAGTAGGGTTGAGCATGTTAGACGAACACGACTCTCCACAATGGTATGATATTGTAGACGAACACGACTCTCCACAATGGTATGATATTGTCCCCTTTGAGCATAAGGATGCTGGCTTTGCTTTGGGTTTCCCCTAAAAGGCCTCGTATCAATGGAGTTAGTATTCCTCATTTATAAACCCATGATCATTCCCGGATTGGATTCGGGGCGAGGATTTCCCCTTTTTGTTATAATTTTTAAATATTGGATAATTTCTATTTTAAAATATAAAACATGTTAATAAATCCAAAAATATTTTATAAGAAAAAAATAAAATATAAGTTCAACCTAATTTTTAAAAAATTTAAATTTGAATAGTATTTTAGAGTGTTCCACGTATAAGTGGAGCGGGGAGGGAAAGAAATCGGAACAGGGTCGGGGTCGGGGGCTGAGAATGTAATCCTTATCCCCGTCCCTATTTAGTTGATGGAGAAAAATCTTCCACCGCTCCCTCTCTCATTCATTGTGATTTTCCACTTCGTTCGAGGTGAGTCATCTCAGCCCCTGAATTAAATGGGTTTTGATTGTATTATTCCCGTCCATTACTCTGACCGTTTAAACAAGATGACGATAAGATTTTATGTTACATTCTAGAAAACCGACCTAAAATCTTTGTCCAATTTATACTTTATATTATATAATATTATATATAAATAAGAGGAGAAGACAAAGAAGCTAAAACTAACTCATTTAAGGCATCAATGAATCTCCTTATAATATACATCCAGTATTTTTTTAATTAAAATTTTATAATTAAAAAATAAAATCATTTTCCACATTTTTTGAAATTTTCAAACTCTCCTCGTCCATCTCTCTCTATATATTACTTCAATCCACCATTTTCTATAACATCTCTCTCTCTCTCCTCCATCTTTCTCTCTCTAGAGGTAACCATGACAGCTTCTTCCCGCCGAGCGGTTGACTTTCTCATTGTTGTCCTCGTCCTCCTCCCCGTCGTTGTTGTAATGGCAGATGATCACCTTCCGTTTCTCGGTACTTCTCCTTTCTCTTAGCTTTTTTCTTCTCGACCAGAATTGTGTTTAGTAGCTATTGCTCGTTTCAAATAAATATTGAAAATTGAAAATTATATGAGAATTATCTATATATATATATATATATATAGTTTCACGGTTGACCTCGTCCTCCTCCCGATTGTTGTTATAATGGTAGATGGTCACGTTCCATTTCTTGGTATTTTTCCTTTCTCTACACCTTTTGCTTTTGACGAAAACTGTGTTTTGTAGCGATGGCTCGTTTAAAATAAATATAGAAAATTAAAAATTAAATATTATCTAAGAATTAAATATATATATATATATATATATATATATATATATATATATATATAAAATTGTTCTCATTTCATTTTAGTCTCTATATTTTTAAATATATAAATTTTATTTTTTTCGACTCTTCAAATTAATATTAAATTAATTTCTTAAAATTAATATTAAATTAAAATTAATTTTTAATGGGATGTAACTAAATTATATTAGTGAAGTAAAATGTCAGGTAAATAATATTATTTTTTTTTAAAATTAATTAATAGATATATTAATTTTAAATTTTATTGAAAGGAAGTTGAAATTTTATTAAATTTTTAAGTATATCGTTTTTTTTTTCTAATTTTTATAAATTTTAATTTGTGAATTTAAAAAACGAAAAAAAAGAAAAAATAACAAAATGTTTATTATATTTATAGATAAAATATGCGATGAAGTGAACTGCGGAAAGGGGAATTGCACAACGGACGACGTATATCCGTTCTTCAAATGCGAGTGCGATTCCGGCTGGAAGCGTACTCGCGACTCCGACGACGATCTCACTTTTCTTCCTTGCGTCATCCCTAACTGTAAGCTTCTCTCTCTCTCCGATTTCTCTGTTCGTCGAAAATGGCGATCGAAATCGAATCATCCAACTCTCTGTTTCTTCTCCTTGTTTTGAAGGTTCTCTCGACTATGGCTGCCAGTCGGCGCCGCCGCCGGTACCAGATAAGCCAGTTCCGAGAAACTCCTCCTTCTTCAATCGTAAGTCATTTTCCGGCCAAGTTTCCCCAAATCTTTATTCGTTGCTTTCCGTCGCAATTTCCGAAGAACAAAACCCTAATTTCAATATATATATATATTTATTTATTGGATAACTTTATAAGTCGAATTTAAAAAATAATTATTTTTGTTTATGATTCTATGTATTTATTTTTATTTTATTTTATTTCGATAATTAAAATTTTCAATTATTTAGTCTATTTTAACTTTTAAAATTAAATTTTTAACATATATATTGAAATTGATTTGAAATTTGTTATTTTATTTGATAACTATAATTTTAGTTTTTAATATTTGGATAATATTTCTTTTTTCTTTTGGTAATTGTTTTTAATATAAAATTCTAATTAAATTATTATTAATCCAATTTTTTTTTAATAATAAGGATTAAATTTTAAAAAATACTTAAAATATAATTAACGTTTGAATTATTTGTATACTTAATTCAATCTCTTAACCTGTCATTGCTAATATTAAATATTTTATTTTTAAATGTTTGGAGTTTTTAAATATACGAGACTGCCACCTTTCATATGCTTAGGTTGACTTGATTATGTAAATTATTTATATTGTTTTTAATATAATTAGCGTTTTAATTATTTGTTTTTAATAAAAAAAAAGAAATTAATTAAGTCTTCAAAAAATAATAATTATCCATATGATTATTTATTTATTTATTTATATAATTGTCTTGCAGCTTGCTATTGGGCCTATTGTGGAGAAGGCACGTGTGAGAAGAACAATACGTATGCACACACGTGTGAATGCAGATCTGGCTTCTACAATCTCCTCAACATTTCTGCCTTCCCTTGCTATAGTGATTGTAAGATTCACTATTTATCCATTTTTTTCAACTAAAAATATAATTTCAATTAAGTCGGGTAATATTTAGTCGTTAAATTTTTAAAATATTGTTTTCGAGTAATTTTGAGAAATTACGATCTAATTTTTGTTATTATTATATTATTTATAGGTACGATCGGGTCGGATTGTGCAAAACTTGGGATTAAAGTTGCTAATGTAAATTCAAGCGATAATGGAAGTGGGGGTTCTGGTACCGGACAAGGTACGATGTTCGATTATTTTTTTTTTTCGTTTTATATTTTGAAAATATTAAAAAAGATAGGTAGAATTTTAAAAATAGTTCTAGAATCACAATAAAATAAGCAAGGAAATTGTTAATAAATTATAATAATAAATAATAAAAGATATGAATTCCATTTAAATAAAAAAAAAATTGTTTTGAATTTTGATATTACATTATTATAATAAAAAACATATCAATTAAAAAAAAATCCACATTGTGATATTTTTAAATAATTTATTTATTCACCATTAATTAAAATATTCATCTTCCTCTGAATAATATATATATAAATAATAAATTTTTAAAAAATTATGGTTTATTGGGTCAAATTTTCAACCATGTGATTCTTGTTTTCTACAAATTTTTTTATTCATTGCTTATAATTAAAGTTTTGTCAATTTCTTGATTTATTATTTAATTAAGGTTAAAATTTGAGGGTTAATAAAATAATTAGTTTAATTTACATAATGACAATGATATGGTGATTAAAAGTCAAATTAATTTTTTAAAATTTTTACTTTTATTTAATTATTTTAAAAAATCATGATTTTATTTAGCATTCAAGATCTTGATTATTTGTAGTAAAATAAAATAAATAAATAAGTCATGCCTTGCGCATCATCTCGTTGAAAAAGTATGCAAATTATTTCCACGTATTATATAGTTATTTTCAAAGTTTGACATTATGACACGTGGCAACAAGTCCACCAACTTGCTTTATTAAAAACAATTAAAAAAGTTATTTTTCCATAAACCTACAAAGTCATTGAAAATGTTGCCTTATATATATATATATATATATATATATATACACACCTTTTTATAGAGATTTTAGATGTATTTTATATATAAAAAATAAAGTTTTTATTTATTTATTTTTATTTTTATTTTTTTAATTTCTTTGGTAAGATTACCAATACAATAGCATAGGTCTAACTTCAACTATTTTTGTGACACCCGTGTTGAGAAGAAGAAGAATACATGAACGAAACAATATCAAATCTAAATGAGAGTAATATTAAGGACATAAGAATTGATAGTTATTACTTATATCAACAAGGTATTATAACTTTCGATGACTAGATTATAAAAACTCTAAAGTTGGGAATGTTTGGTTTGGAGGTAGCGATCCTATGTTGGGTATAGAGATGTCCATAGGACAAGACAAGTAATTGGGTGGGTATGGGGAATATAATCTTGTCCCCAACCCAATTTATCTAATGGAAAAAAAAAATGTTCCCCATTCCTTATCTAAATGGAGAATCCCCTCCCTGTTTGGATTGAGTCCTTGTGGATAAAATAGACATCTCTAGTTGGGTGGCTGTGAGACGAGGAGAAAAACGAAACACCTTTGTAAGGGTATGAAAACATCTCCCTAACAGACCTTAAGGGGAAACCTTAAAGGGAAAACCCAAAGAGGACAATATCTACTAGCGGTGGGTCTGAGCCGTTACAACAAATGGAATCAGAGCTAAACATCGGGCGATGTGCCAGCTTGGAGGTTGTTCCTCGAAGGGGGGTAGACACGAGGCAAAATGCCAGAAGGGAGGTGGATTTGGTGGGGGTCCCACTAGAGAAAGGAATAAGTGCCAACAAGGACTCTGAGCCTTGAAGGGGAGTGGATTGTGAGATCCCACAATTGGGGAGGAGAACGAAACCCCCTTTATAAGGGTGTGGATACCTCTCCATGGGTTTTAAAAACCTTGAGGGGAAGCCCAAAGAGTACAATATCTACTAGCGGTGGGCTTAGGTCGTTACAATGACTTTCTAGAACTTTTTCTAATAAGTACATGAGTGAGTAAAAAACGTGCTAAAATAACACATACTGATCTATGAGGACAATCTTCACTCTTAAGATAAAACATCTTACAAAAATTCTATTGATCTTAGAAGGACTTCAAGATAAGCAAGTCACGAATAGTTTTCCCTCTTACAACTACTTAAAAACAAGTATATAATGTAATTATGTCACGAGAGATATAAAGATACACAAGAACGTCATATTTTTAAACCCTAAGATGTTATTAGTGCTCATTTTTCCTTCTTCCTTCCATCAGGAAACTCCCTTCTACCAGGAAAGTTTGGGTGGGTGGCTATGGCAATTTTATTTGGCATGACTATGGAGCTTTGGAACTAGCAGATCCTTGATTATATATATAAAATTGATATTCATTTATGTTGTTTACACTATGTTTTGGTTTCATATCGATTGTTATTATATGTTGTGTCTGAGTTTGGTACATTATCATATATATAATAAATAAATCATAGCTCTAGTCATTAGAGGCTGCTGATCACTGTTTTTGTACATATATTCATCTTACTATATTATTTCTACAATTTGCACAAGATATATCCCGTCCCAAATATTCATCTTGGTACAATTTACAAATATATCCCATCCCAGATTGAGCAGATCATCAGCAAAAATTTGCACAAGATTTCTTATAATACAGAGATGAAATCAAGCTGACTATCACCAAGAAATCATGAACAAAAATGGAAAAGTTTCGATTCAAAGCTCTAATATACGGATTAGAAGAAAGTAAAAGGAATCGAACGAACAGTTTTTAGCAGAACTCACCAATGGAAGGTAATGGAAACGGAAATCATTTGGTCTTGATGTCGATTCCATCTTTTCCGGCGATGATTACGGCGGTCGCCATGTCCAAGAAGAGCCCGTGCTCCACCACTCCTTCAAACGCTGAAATCTCTTTTCCGGCGGCTAATCCGTCTTTGATTGGAGTCTTGAAATATAAATCGACTATGTAATTTGAATTATCGGTGACGTATGGCTTCCCATCGGCGTCCAATCGGAGCTTGGCCTCGCAATCTTCGTCCTTGAATAGGTCTTGAAGCCTCACCAAATTGTATTTCCAGCAGAACTGAACGACTTCCACCGGCATCGCGAGACCGCTTCCGCCGAGGCCGTCAACTAATTTAGTATCATCGACGACGACGACGAATTTATCGGAAGCAGCCTCAACCATTTTCTCACGCAACAAAGCGCCGCCGCGGCCTTTAACGAGATTCAGATCTGGATCGACCTCATCAGCGCCATCGATAGCCAAATCGAGATGCGGATGATCATCAAGAACAGAGAGAGGAATTCCTAATGCCCTAGCTTGCTCCTCCGTCCGCTTGGAGGTAGGGATTCCAACAATGTCACTCAATTGATTACTCTTGAGAAGTTCGCCAATCTTAGCGACAACGAAAGCGGCGGTGGAGCCAGTGCCGAGGCCGAGAACCATTCCACTCTTGACATACTCAACAGCCTTGTCGGCAGCAAGCTTCTTGAGGTCGTCTTGAGTGAGAGTGGAGACGGAGCGGGCTTGAACGGAGAGAGGACGGCAGCGGTGGTGGTTATGAGCGGAAAGATTAAGAGGCTTTGGTGATCGGAGAAGAAGGTTGGCTATGGAGGAAACATGGCGGGAGGAAGAGAGAGAAGGAGGGGAGATGAGAGAGAGGGAAGCCATGGATGAGAAAGGGATAGGGTTTTGAGTTTCTAGTGGCTAATGTCTCTGCAATTTCTTCCTTTTATATGTAAAGGAAGAAGAAAGTGTGGCTTTTGAAATGGACATTTGGGGTTGGTAAAAGGATCATTGTGGTGTTGTTGGGGTTTTCATTCAATTTTGGTTGCCTTTTCTTTTTCATTCTTTATTGGATTTTGTTCCTTTTTTTTTTTAATACTAAAAAATTAAAACCTAAAAAACCCGTGTTACCGTAAAATAGATTACGAGAGATTTCATCGATGGTCTGTTAGTGGCAGAATTCTCTTCTTATTATTGACTCGAGCATAGTTGCATAGATTGGTTGGCAATAGATCGACGATTATTAGCTATCTCCTACTGACCACCATTACGTTTTTTTGGCAATAGGCGTGAAAAGTAGGTCTTGCATCTCTTAACGATCATAACTTCCGAGAGAAAAGGATTTTGTTTCAAATGCGATCGACGATTTTGTATTTCGTTAAGTGGGTCTTGTCTGTCTTAACCCGATCTATTAGTACTTGTTTTGTTGTGCCAGACCTTATGGATTGCAACAAGCTTCTACTTTGAGTTCGATGTTGGGATGGTACGTTTCATGATGTTGAAACATACCCTTTTGAATTCTTTAACAAGTTTTGATTGAGTTTTAAAAGAACTCACGTTTAGCTCGGAAACATCCAAATTAGATTTTGTGAGACCCCACATCGGTTGGAGAGGGGAATGAAACATTTCTTATAGAGGTGTGTAAACCTCTCCATAGTAAAAAGAGGACAATATCTACTAGCGGTAAGCTTCGGGTATTACAAATGGTATCAGAGCCCGATACCAAACAATCTAGTACACTAGGGCTCCAAGCCAGATACCAGGCAGTCGAGTACACTAGGGCTCCAAGGGAGGTGGATTGAAGGAAAGTTCGAAAGGGGACATTGAGCCTCCAAAGGGTAGATTGAGGGGAAGCTCGAAAGGGGACGTTGGGCCCTAAAAGGGTGGGTGCTAGCGAGTACACTAGAGCTCCAAGGGAGGTGGATTGAGGGAAAGTCCGAAAGGGGACGCTAGGCCTCCAAAGGATAGATTGAGAGGAAGCTCGAAAGGGGACGTTGGACCCCAAAAAGGTGGATTGAGGAGAAACCCGAAAGAGAAAATCTAAAGAAAACAATATCGCCGACAACATTTGGTGAATGAATACAAGATGAGTTGAGAGCATAAACGTTATGGATTATTGGTACATCTAGGGTCTAGAGGGGCAATTATGGAATAATATTTTTGAGCCCATGGGCCCACAAGCTGTAGAATATGAAATCGGGTTGTCGGGTCAAGGCCGATTCCTGCCGGACTCTTCTTCTTCCCCACGCTACCACTTTTGAAAGCATTGGAGTTTACTCAGAATTCATTCTCACTTTTTTTTTTTTTTTTTTTTTTT